TGAATATGTAACATACGAAAATTATCTCTTTTTATTGTCATAAGTTAATAAATGAATGAACGTGGGTGTCAAATATATGACTCTAGCTCGATTTTGTAGGTATCATAAGTTTATTATGTGATCTGTATAACAATCATAGACACATAATGGAACCATAATTAATTAATTCAGTATCACCGTTCATGTGCATCGTATTTCACGAACATTCTAATTCAAACTAGTGTACTACGATACACACACACACACATTAGTACACTAGTTTTCGAACCAGTTATATAAGTGAATTTGTACATATAGGGTAACCCATTTTAATCAACAAACGGAGATATCTTCCAAACTACCCGACCTAGAAAAAAAATGTTTATAGGTGACGATTTTAAGGGACATTAGTGGTCGTATACCAGTGTTAATGACTTTGACATTTTTATACTTTCATTTTTCTAAATAAAACATTCTATTTTTGATGTCGAATTGAGAAAGAGCGGGAAATTTTTACGTCTAGATACATATCTAAGTCCGAGGGTAATGTGACCTCCATAATAAACCCCTAAAAGCCAGCTCTGATAAACCACAAGTAGGCTAATAGAATTAAATCTGAGATCGGCGAGTTTAATCGCTTATATTTTTTCTGGATAACGCTAAAAGTAAAATTATATGAAAATAAATAAATATTTTATAAAGATAACCTTGATGTGACCTTACGGATGTCGTAATGGAAAATATCAATTGTTTTAGCACTGATGAGGCTCATCCGTTCTCGGGTTCAGCTTTTATTCGGCACACTTGAACAAACAGATCAGAGATTTCAAAAAGAGATACAGAGCTGAGTGATCCAGAGCTTCAGTTGAAGGATACACAAGGAAAATACTCCAAGCAATTTGATGCAATGGAAGCACGTCCTTTGGTTCGCAAATTCGTCGTTTAGTGGGGATGGCTTTTAGGGGTTAAGGATGGGGATAGGGGGTAAGTTCGGCTGACCAGGTTGCGATGGAGAATTTAGTCATTTCAAAAAACATAGGCAATTAAACTTTCTGCTCTTAGGGTTAGGTGAGCTAGCCTGCTTGTGGATTAGCAGGGATGGTTTTCAGGGGTTTATTTGGCCTATGAAGGTGTGCACCTTGGATTTAGATACTTATCTGAATGTAAAATTGCCAAAAATTCAGAATCCGGCATCAAAAGTAGGAAGTTCTATTTAAATAAAATGTACTTTACCTTAAAATGATCTCAAAAACTGATCTCAAGGTCAAAGCCAATAGCACATGTAGACGACTCCTAATGTCTCCAACAATTTTCGCCTAAACATTAGCGTAATTTGCGAAATATCTCCGTTTGTAGATTAAAATGGATCATCCTGTATGATCAAATTCATTGTGATGGTTCATGAAATCAGGAACGCAGAGTTATCAAGATACAGATGTTAATTGGATAGGAATGAAGGTAAATTGATATGAAAATCTAAAAATACTATTAAATCGCAAGAGCCCGAACAATAGTGGTGTATGCTTCGTTTTTCTATGTGATCACTGAAAATTGCAGGAAAAAAAGAAACACTCGCGAATTTCAATTCTGGAATCCAGATGAAACGTTGACCAAAAAGAAAGAACAGCCTACAGAACTAAAGCGCTACGCGTGTGGTCGGTTCGCTGGTTAGAGCACAACTACTTTGCGATATTTGCGATACAGAGTTTCAAAGAGAAAGAGAAAGAGAGAAAGAGAGAAAGAGTGAGAAAGAGAGAAAGAGAGAAAAAGTGAGAGAGAAAGAGAGAAAGAGAGAAAAAGTGAGAGAGAAAGAGAGAAAAAGAGAAAGAGTGAGAGAGAGAGAGTGGCGTAGACAACTTAGACTGAAAACTAGATTTTTTTAGATTTCATACTTTAACTTGTATAAAAGTTAGATGTTAGTACTATGAAACGTTATAAACTGAAATTTTTCCGTGTTTATATTAAAATATTATTAAATTAAAGAATATGTTCAAATTAAATGAGTTTTATACAACTCGTGGCTTTGTAAATTGTTATGAATTACAATGATTGAATTTATTTAAACTTATTGTAACATTTATTCAATAAATGATTGTATTAATTGAATTCAAGTATGATTCAAGTTTAAAATTCTACATACAAAACGCAAGTGACGTCGCCACACAAAATTTAGCATTAACAAGTTGTGTTCAACCAATTGATACTGTATAAAGCAAAAGTATAGAATGCTCGCAAATCAACCTTTATAATGCACCAAAAGTATAGCAAACATTCAATTTCATTTTGTAGAATTGTAAGAAGCTATCCCAGCTATTAAATCTATTTGATATTTTTAATTTACACTGAGCAAAGCAATGATGCTTAGTAACTCTTATAAATTCATTAACTAAACACATGCAGCTCTATTATGACAAGAATATCCACATCAAGTCTCGCCTCGTTGAGATCCCGCACAAGCACGTCTCAAGCATGGAAAGAAAAAAAAGGCACGATCGATGGGAGCATAGAGTATATATACTGATTCCTGCCGATTGCGTTCCCTCATAATCCGTCGAGGAAATGAGTTTTGGCGACATTAGCATGGGGGCGGTGTCTCTCTTGCTCTCCCTCGAGAGAGAGAGAGGGAGAGAGAGAGAGAGAGAGAGAGAGAGAGAGAGAGTGAGAGTGAGAGAACGGCTCATCCGCGTGTACAGCCACCTCATATCCGAGGAGATTGTAATTCAAAGTGGCGTCTCGAATCGACAGGCTGGAGTGGTGTTGTCACTGTCAAGAAAATCACTGCTAGCGCGAGTATACATATAGCAGGAGACTGGAAACGATACAGGGATGAAATAAAAAAAAAGAAAAGAGAAGGAAGAAAAAATAGGTAGGGAGAGATTGACGCGACTAGTGGTTTGGAAGTGGTAAACTGTTTTCCATTCTGCGGGAATTCTGTATACTTTGCGGTTCAAATAAGTTTTTCAATTGAATTTTTATATCTGATGGCTGGATGAAAATATTTTTTTTTAATATTATTACACAATTGGATAGTTATTTAAATGTAAATATTTAGCTTCTACGTTATAAAATAATTTTTTCGATAGCCTGATGAAATTATTAAAAACAGGATGAACATAACATATAACTACATTTTACATCGAAGAAAGGATACAAATTTCGTTAATGAAATACCGATTGGTTGTTCATTTTATTGACTCAATTTTAAAGAAAAACTTCTCTGAAAATTCATTATTTTAAATTAGGAAGCGTAACATAGAACCACGTAATTTTACATATAGAAAATTATAATTTTCAAATTCAGTACAAAATATTTTTCTCTGTTAACAGGGATAACTATCAACAATAATTATTGTTAATATTTTACGACCCAGGCTCACGATATGGCAATAAATTACATGACGTGATTAAATTTCTCTATTTAAAGATTTTACACTCAACATTGTATAACGAAAAAACATAATATATATTTAGTTGATTGACATAGAAAAATTGTATCATTATTTTATCACCATCTATGAGTATTAAAATTTTCGAAAATCTCTAAACTCATAGATAGTACAAAGTCAGTTTACAGATACATAAAAGAATCATTTGTGCGTAAGCTCAAATCGTCCTCGTATAGATTTAAGAGAATCGAAGCGTGGAAGAGAGGCGTTGCTTACTAATGTAGTTATTGAATCATCTCGAGATCCAAAGTGCAGAGAATTTTGGTCCTAAGGATTACGACGAGTCTTGCAGATGGGCTGGGCGTGGCTTTATCGAGATGAGATTACCAAGGGGGAAGAGAGCTAGAGAGAGCTTTTCGATCCCGATCACAATTAGATGCGACCAGGCGTACTACAACGTGTCCTGGATCTCTGAGCTTTCGCTCGTCGTTCGCTCGCGTACGCCGCATCTCATAACCGATTCGGAAATGTATTATGGGCGTTGCTTGTAGCCTGGCAGATTTGCTTTTGGGCTTGAATTAATTGAAGGATTTCCGAGGCTTTCGATGTTGTTGAATTTCCGATGAATCACGCATTACGCTAATACCGAGCGGAAATTTTCATTTTCATGTAATAGCCGAAATATTGGTAAAATTTTTATATGAAATATATATACATACTGATTGATTCTTCGCTCGCGATAACAATTCATTTTTTCTTCAATATCGTTAAAATTATTTAATGTCAAGCAGTTACTAGAACGTTACATTGTTCAAAATAGAATTTATTATGACTGTCATAAAAGGTATATAACTTTTCTTAAAAACAACACCATTGTTTAACTACGTGTATAAATGATTGAAAATGTATAGCAATTTATAATACTATAGGTTTTCTTACTTGAATTAAAAAAAATTAAAAAAATAGGAAAGATTATAGCCTTTCGTAAAATAAATTATTACACTAATACTACAGGCCTATAAAATTTCGAAAAAGGCTGGAACTAGAGAACAGATACCCTAACCTAACGACGAAAAGAAGGCAGTAGTTTACCAATCATTTCAGAGGAACTTAAGTTATCGAAAATTGGAAAAACACCTGACACACAAGGAAAACCACTGTCATCAACAATTCTCGAGAATGACTTTGCGACTTAAAAATAAAGGAATACTTTAAATTATCGTTAATACACCATTAAAATAAAGATTTATAGAGCTGTAAGAAGATTTCAATTTTTTGAATGCAAATTAATTTAGCGAATAATTATATTAAATAAATTCAGTAATATAATTAAAAGTTTATTCTTAAATGGCGATAGAAATATACAAAAATATTTTTTTATAACTAACGACTATATTTTTTATGATTATTGTTTTGAATAGAACATATTTATTTCATAATCTAAAAGTGTAAACATATTCGTTTATTATAAAAACGATTTTACGTCATGGAGTCTGATAATCGTAGCAATATTTCAAACAGAATTTGAATATATTTTGATAAGATAAGATTGTAAGTCCACTATCATTCCAACACGCATTTTTTTGCCGTATATTGCCATTATAAGAAGCTTCAATCGTGCTTCAGAATTTCGTAGTGGTTTGCAGATTCGTATTTATCAGTATACACTGTTAACTTTGGATAAAATAACATTTTTTACTATTGAAATGCTCAATCAGAATGAGGTACACGCATTAATTTTCATCTACACAAGTTCTAATATACGATTAAGCGAAACGCAATCTACAAAATATTACTTATTAATTTTCTTTTATTAAATTTAAATTTATAATGACTTTTTAATGCTATTCATTTGAGCTTCTTGCAATATAAATGTAAATATTTATTATATTATAAAAATTCGAGTTTATATTCTCATAACGAATATTTCATTTCATAAAAAATATCAAGATCGAGGGACAACTTTATTTATACATTCATGTGCTTGATGATTGTAAATAAATACATCATAGCAACTGATGATATCAATAATGTGGTAAACTCAAACAAAAAAATCATCATTATTGGAGCAGGGGCAGCAGGTATTGCGGCAGCATCGAAACTATTTGAAAATGGATTCAAAAACGTGACAATTTTAGAAGCTGAAAATAGAATCGGTGGCCGTCTTTATACTACAAAATTAGGTATGGTATAAGCTTAATATTGCTAGTAATGCAAAGACAATTCAAAAATGCATTGTATAATGAAAGTAAAAAATAATTATAATATTGAACAATATAAATTATTAAATTATTAATTTATTACGTATTAAAACGCTATGCTCAAGTCGCAGTTTTCAAAAATATCACAATCCAGCAAGCAGCTGATAATAAATATTATAACACGACCTCGGAATAATAATAGTCGTTACTTTATTCACAAGAATATGTTGAAACTATAATACTTATTTTTATAAATTATTACATATCAAGAATATCGGCAAGGTTAACCATTTTATACTGATAAACGGATGTTTCGTAATCAAAACATGTACCTATATATTTATAATTATCTTTCGTTTATTCTCAATAGGAAATTATTCTGTGGACCTTGGAGGACAATGGGTACATGGACAAAAAAACAATGTTGCCTTCAATTTAGCTAACCCACTAGGTCTACTTGATCCACGAAACAATATAAATATACAAGAAAAATTTTTCAATTCATCAGACAATCTTATAAGTAGTAGCATTGAAAACTATTTGAAAAATTTCTTTGACAAATACTTCACAGAAACAAATACAATTGATGTTCCTAGTACAACTGCAAAATCATACGGTGACTTTATAAAACAAACGTAAGTAAAAAAATTCATTATTAAATACGATGATCATTTTTATCAAAGATATTATTACAATGAATAATTTCAATATTAATTTTTAATTAAATTTAATGCAAGTTATATCTATATCGGTACCCTATTCATGACTACAAAAATTGACTAGAAAAAACTATTTTAATTTTTGTATACTACAGCTATGACAAAGAATTTCAGAACATCACTGAAATGATGGATCACAAGGCAGAAATTTTGAGTTATTTAGAAATTTCGAAACTCAATTATGAATCCGCTGATTCTTGGAATGATGTGTCAATTCATGACGACAGGTACATTATTCGAAAAGGTCATCAAGATATAGCTTGGATATCTACGGGGTATGGAAAGATTTTGGATATATTGATGGTACAGTTCATATATATTAAATTAATATTTTTTAGTTAACACTTAATAAAATTTTCTTTTGATTCTTCTGTATATCTACAAAGATTTCGTTTTACAGAAACGTTATCCAGATCCTGATAAAGAACTTCCTGTTGCAAACAATACAATCTTAAACGCTGAAGTAACATTAATTGACTATGCAAATACCGAAAATGGACATCCTATTCTAGTAACTATTAAAGATGGTCGAACGTTCGAAGCTGACCACATCATTGTAACGGTTTCACTTGGAGTTTTAAAAGCACAATATAAATCACTTTTTACACCACCTTTACCACCTGAAAAAATTCAAACTATTGAGGTATGAAAGTTAAATAAAAGTTAAACGTATAAATTCATTATAATTTATGAATTCGGATACTTTTCAGACGCTTGGTTTTGGTACTGCTGGTAAAGTATTTTTATTATTTCAAGAATCATTTTTGGGAAATGAAAACTATAACAATACACATTTTGAATTCATATGGAATAATGCAGATAGAAAAATCATACAAAATGACGTTAGTAATTTGTTTTAATTATAAAAATAACTTGCCACATTCTAATTATAAATATTCATCAGCCAGAGAGAATGTGGTTACTGGGAGTAACTGGAGTTTGGCAAGTAGAACACAAACCAAAATTATTTGAGTTCTATATACCTAGTAAATGGTCTAAAGTGATGGAAACTATACCTGAAAACAGAGTTTACAATCAAACAATTAAGCTTCTTGAACAGTTTATGGGAAAACAATACAAAATTCCAAAACCTATTGCAATAATAAGAACACAATGGTATACTAATCCACACTTTAGAGGAACATACAGTTATCATAGTGTACAATCAGATGATCAACACACTTATCCAGAAGCACTTCAGAAACCGATCACCTCTGAAAATCCTGTAAGTTTAAAAAAAATGACAATTAAGACAATTAAGATACTGAAATAAGTTTACAATTCAGATAAAAATAATAAATTTTTCATTTTTCTCCAACTATAGAAAGTCTTATTTGCTGGAGAAGCAACATCTGCACATAGATTTTCAACTGCTGATGGAGCAATCGAATCAGGTTGGACAGCAGCTGAAATACTTATTAAGCTGTATAATACTCAGTTGGTCAAATCATAGAAGCTTTTCATTAAGAATTGATTTAATTTAATTTTATGTCGAATAAATAAAAAATATATTTATAAAAATATATTTATATTATATATAAATATATTTATAAAAGAACGTTATGAAACTTCAACTAAACGATTTCTCTATCTTTTTTATACAATATCGGTCATGAATTTCCGAAAATTTTATGGAATATCTCCAATTCTATTGATCATAGAATACAAATAAAAACGGCAAATGTAAGAAGAGGAGAAATACTAACTTTTTATGGGGCGCGAAAATTTCTAAAGTCATTTTTTATATTTTTTATACCACTTTAAAAAGTGTCAATTTTTCAAAGTTTTTTTAATTTCTATAATTACTTGCATTTTTTTAAATATCAATGATATGTAAAAAGTTCTCAAAAAGATCGAAGGATCTTGAAAAAATCTAAAATTAAATGAAATGCGAACTTACCCATTTTAAATGTACAGTCTTACTTGAATAACTCCTCTGGAACTGCAGAAATCAGAAAAATAGTCATTACAAAAGTTGTAAGGTTTAGAGGGAAGTGTCATATGGTGGTGACCTTGGATTTGTCCTTGGCGTCAATTTCAAGGTCATATGAAGGTCAATTTTTTACTATTAAAAAGTGTATAATAAATTTTGTTAAAAGTTTTGAAATAAATTTGTATCACTAAGTTTGAGATTTGATCTGTCAACAATTTTATTATTATTATAATTTTTTTTTTTATTATAGACGTCGCTTTTTTTTACTATTTAACAATTATTATTGTTGTTGCTATTGTTTTTGTTATTGTTGCTGTTGTTTTTGTTGTTGTTATCGAAACTCAACAAGTATTATATTGACCATTTTTTCCTGATTTTGGCCAAATGAAGGTGGATCTATTTAAACTGTCTTTTTGACCTTAAAATGACCTTGGGATCCCTAACTAGTAGATTCCGTAATCATAATTAGGGTTTTCTATTAAAAAAAAGTTGACCTACATATGACTATGAAGATTGAGTTCAAGAACAAATTCCAAATCACCACATGGCACTTCCTTCTAAACTCTACAACTTCTGTAATGACTATATTTCCGCGATTTTTACGCGGTTGTACGCGTCTGAACGCACATATATATGTCCATACCTACTGTTTAGACTGAACACGCGTCATCTGTGGAAGTAGTAGATTACGTATCAAGACCGGGAATATATTGGGTTAAGATCATAACACGTGAGAATTAACCACCAAGGCAAAGCCAAGCACAAAGCCTAACCAAAGCCTGATTTATTAGAATTCTTTATTATAAGTAAGTAGTTGAGAACAATCAAGCAACTACCAAAAGATAAGGAATCTGATCACAGAATGGAAACCAGTGAAAACTTCATGGGAAACATCTATATTATTCCAAAACAGAATTTATAGCTGCCGAAGTGTAAAGTCAGAAAAACGTCATATTCGTCGAAAAATGTTACAAGAATCCATCAAACCTGATTATTCTGCAATATCTTATTGTACTGAAGTATTCAAAAAAGAAAAATAATTATATTTTTATATTTCTTTACATTTCTAGAAAATTATATTTGTTGGTGAAGCGACGTCTTCTCATAGATTTGGAACAGCTAAAGGAACTGTTGGATCTAGATTGTCAGCTGCAAGTACTTTGATTAGTTTCTATACAAATTTATCTTCTTAATGGATGTAAGGTGCGAGCAATACTGACGTGACCTAATGCATTCGAGTATATTAATATTTCCTAAGTATTATATTACAAATTTAAGAAAAATAAATAATAGCTAATTTCACTATATTAATTCTTCGATGTTTTATACCTTATAGTGACAAATATTTATTTGTTTTTCAACATTCAACTTACTTATAAATGCTAGATATAGTAGAACTATTTTATACTTTTCACCATCAGATAATAAATAATATCATTAATCGTTTTTGAAAAAATGGTTTTTAGGTTGTCGTAATAAACCGATAATAATCTGATTCAATATTTTATAGTTAAAACTTATTATCTTCTACGAAAGTCTCCAAGTAGCTATCTCTTCGTAATTTATTGCTTTTCATGTGGAAATATCTTGAAAACTTGAATAATTTAAATGTAGAGAAAGCGCTATCCTGATAGTTGCACTTGTTTTCCAAAAAACGTAATAAATGTAGCTTTCTTTCCAACGTTTACGTTGCAACAATATATTCTCGCATCAACTTGCTCATGGCATTTCAATTTGCACAATGTCATCAATATTTCATCAATACCCTCGAAAAAACATATCCCTATAAAATCTTATGGTGTCAAACCACAGCTCTAATACAATAAAAAAAGGTTTTCGACTCCAATCGTGATATTCATCGACATCCGATAAATTTTAACGAGGCTTCGATATAAACCGCAACAAGCAGACACTCAGCGGTAATCTTGCATAAATCATCAAAAAAAAAGGAGACCAACTCTCGGTGAGCACGTTTCTCCCCCTTTGAGTGGCGGCATCCTTCAAACCGCACGAGAGAAAGAGAGAGAGAGAGAGAGAGAAAGAGAGAGAAGAGAACTGAAAATGCCAGGTGGAGGCGTGAACGAAGTATGGCTCCACTTGTAGAACAGGTCTGCTTTCGCTTTTTATTCGTCGGCGATGCTATCTGATTATGTGGATGTGCTCAGGAATAAAAAAGCTTGCTCATTTCCTGAATCTCTTTGATCTGCATACATCCGTCTCTGCTTTTTTTGATCCCGCAACTGCGCATGGTTATCACTTTGATTCACCAATTGATTATTTACCTTTGATGCCGACTCTACTACAATCTGTTTCTTAAAAATCATTGACTCTCTACCATAATAATGCAATGTATTTTACATTAGCTTTCTTAAGAAAAAAAAGCAAAATTAGTTTTATGAAAGCGAAGCGCCCTAATTACCAGTAGATGTCACGTCGTGCAGCTTTCGTTTAAATGCGCCGATAAAAATCCGAATGTTTTCATTACATCTCATTTCAGTGAACGCTACAAATTTATCAATAGAAGCCAGAACGAGGAAGAGAGAGAGAGAAAGAAATAAAAATCCTCAGTCGTTGCCGTTGAAATCGAAGCAGGCCATACGACAAGGATATAGACGCGACGACGAGGATCCTTACGGCATAGACGTCTGGCTTTCTCCAAACGCTTTCATTATCGTTATCAGCCGCTTGGCGATAGGCTCGTTAGTACGCGAGCTCTTGCGTACGTTACGTGCCAGATGCTGTCAAATCGTGTCTTATTATACCGCACGAGCTCGATCTCCCCGGGAGAGAAGACTTGATTTTACGATTATGAACATCTCCCTATATCCTATATTCTGGCTTTTCTCCGACTGTCTCGTTAGGCAAACACGTTACTGCTACCAAGTGAAATCTCAAAAAAAACTTTAACGACCTATCTTTTTCTTCGCTATGCTAAATCATTAGCATGACTCCGGGATTTTAATTTTATGTATAGTTGAACTCTTCCGTTTTCTACTTTTTGATTATGATTTGACTTAGCATAAAAGAATTTGTTTATGTTCAACCACTTTGGTCCTAGGAGCTGATGTATTTCCTACCTATTATTTTATAATATTATAAATAAGTCTGGAATTTTTAGGTATTGCTAGCCTCTTAAAGGCTTAACCTTTATAATATTTTGTATAAATTAATAAATATTGATTCTTTTAAAAATTTATTAAGCAGAAAAGGTGTGTTTTCGCGAAACTAATTTGTTACAGTCTTAGGGTGATTGTTAGTATAATATACTATAATGCTTTTCAATTGGACGATTAAAAAAGTTAGATAAATTATTAGACATCGTCATACTGGCGTTTTGTGTAAGTAGAAATTTAATATTCAACACACGAATGCAATGGTTTTTTCTATCGTTTCTATAATGCGTCACATGGCATGAAAATAAATTTTCAAATTGATTATCTCCACTCTACCTCAAAAAATGCAGTAAATTTTGTAAAAGCTAATAGAACTTCATTAAAAGAAGAAATGTTACTCGTAATTACAACAACGACCAAAGTAATGAGCCTACTCGCGAACGCGCGTGAGAGATTGAAGGCAAAGGTCCAACAAGAAATATGATTATAAGCATCGACTAATGATGACGGCTTTTGCGCGTATAATTAATGATATTATATTTTAATGATCCCAATTCGCGTTAGCCCGTGCACTGCTCTTTGCCTGGGCTGCAGGATTATTGGCACTGATGCGTTCTGAACGACCTAGAAATATCCAGCCAGCGCGCGTACACTTGATTTTAACCTGCACCAAATTAATTTTCATGGTGCATTGTTCGCGCACACGACGTTAATTAAGAGTTATTACGATACTCTCTATCTCTCTCTTGCGTACTCAAAAATACGTCACACCATATGTAAAAATATCCGTAATGAACTCAAGAGAGTAGAAATAAACGTTGTTATAATTGTACGTACGTGAAATCGTATTTTTGTTGTTCATAATGAATAACTGGTGTCATTGGTAGATCTCACGAAAACGAGTACTAAAAAGAAAATGTAGGATCGTAGTGACGGAAATCTAATATCAGATCACTTTAAAGGTAGATTGGTAGTACAAGGGCCTCGGAGCAATAAAGTCCATCGAGGATCTCAACCTTGGTTATACAAAGGATAGCGATCAATCACTTGGACGCTTGATTGGCGTAACCTGGCGAAATCGCGAACAGGTGCTGGAGATAGATATTGGGTCGTGGGCTATAATTATCGCGGCCATTAGTCGCCGCTGTACATCAATTATCGACGAGCGCAGCAGCAGCAGCAGCAGCAGCAGCAGCAGCAACAGCAGCAGCAGCAGCTGTAGGAGAGCGAGCTTCATTGGAATTCGGATGATGCTTCCGTTTCTTAATGACGATTGCTTCGGGTTATCTCTACTGCAGCTCTTGTGTACGCGTGGATTTTCGTTTGTAACCCTTCGATTGCGTGCGGATTTCTAGGAATCGGGCCATTACGTTGCGGCGTCGGATGAACTTCAATAATGATAAACTTGAAATATGTAGTAAATTAGCGTTGATTGATTGATGGATTGTATATTTCTGTGGCGTGTTTATTGGAATTTTTCTTTAGTATGATGACAAGGAGATAAATTTTCACTATATAATGCGAAGCGTAAAATGTAAACCGTAAAAATATTCATTTATGTTGACTGACAAGTGCTTTATTTTCATGTTAAAATATTTGTGTGGTGGTTGAAAGTTACAAGCAGAGCCAAGTAAAACAATGAAATTCTTACTCCATAATTATATGTTCGTCAAAAGGCTAAAAATCATTCAATAGTGTACTGGAATGAATGGAGTAATTTTGGTGAAGCAAATTTTCTTATCAGTTTTAACGATTGCAATTAAATTCTTGTACGTGAATTTTATAAAATTGCAAAGGCATCGCAGCTTATTCATCCTCAAATATGAATTGATATTTGTGAATTTCTCTCACCTGTACCTCAGACTTACATTAATCGTTATATACAATATTTTATTGTATATTTCATATTCTATTCATCAAAAAATTTCAAATATAAAAATAATGTAAATACTTAATTATTTATAACAAAATGTAATTCAGGCGTAAATTATGCCTGAATTATGCTTAATCAGCTAAGCTCTGTCATGAAAAAATATTTCCAAATTCATACATTGAGTATCGTGTCAATTTTTAAGAATAGTCTATGACTGCTCAGTAAATATAGGCATCCCTACTGATTGATACAAGCCCCACTGAAAAAAGTTTCATGTACTTCTTTCTAAAACACATTGCAAACCT